CATCGCTATTAGGTTTGAGGCCATCGCTAGTCGGTTGGAGGCCATCGCTATTAGGTTGGAGGGCATCGCTATTAGGTTTGAGGCCATCGCTAGTAGGTTGGAGGCCATCCCTATTAGGTTGGAGGCCATGCCTATTAGGTTGGAGGCCCGCTAGTAGGTTCCACCACGTTCTGTTCTGTTCAAAAAAAGATAAAGAACACTCAAGGCACTGAAACCGGTCTCAGATCTCAGGTGGTGGCACACTTGGTCGAGGCAAGTCATGTCGCTCTGCGCTTGCACTCGGAACGCTCGGTGGGGTATTGATCTGCGACCTTACTTCCATGCTCATACGGTTGATGGCAGCAGAGAACGTCCTTCACGTGAACGTCGTTCCCAAGTGTTGATTAAGGGGCAGGCTGGGGTGTCTGTCCTGTATTCTGTGCCTCTTCATTCTCAACAGTGGCCGATGCAGGTTCTGGTGCAAATGCCAATCCTTTACCTTCTTCTCGTCTTGGCCTGAAAAGCGTTTCACGTCTTTCTATGATTCAGCTTCTTATGCTACTTTTTGCCTTTTTGAGCGTTTATATCAGATTCAGTGTTCAAGGCAATGGCCATATGCGACCTGTACGGTCCACAGGCCGCCTGTCAAACCTGGCAATGGGCTGTTGACTCTTAGCTGCAAAGTTGTCAACTTCGCCAGCCGTGTCTAAAAACATGTTGAAGCTCGAGAACTCCTTGAAAGGCTTTCAATTCGGCAGAAGTGAGGCACAAACCTTCGGGGAGTGCTTGAGGTGCGCTTCCTAGCCTGGAAAAGAGCGCTGCTGTCCCTGCTGTACAGGTTTTATTGTAAGACCTTCAATCAACAAGTACTTCAAGACAGGACAGTCTTTACAAATCCCACAAACAACCTCCGGCCTCGCGGCGAGGCACGCTGCCTGAGAAGTAAGGACAAAGAAAAAGGAACACAATGAATAAATAACAAAAGGAGAAACCTCTAATTTAGCTGCTCTTAGGTTGCAGGCCATCGCTATTAGTTTGGAGGCCATCTATATTAGGTTGGAGGCCATTGCTATTAGGTTGGAGGCCATCCCTATTGGGTTGGAGGCCATCGCTATTAGGTTGGAGGCCTTTGCTACTTAGGTTGGAGGCCATCGCTAGTAGGTTGGAGGCCATCGCTAGTAGGTTGAAGGCCATCGCTATTTGGTTGGAGGCCATCGCTAGTAGGTTGGAGGCCATCGCTATTAGGTCGGAGGTCATTGCTATTAGGTTGGAGGCCATTGCTATTAGGTTGGAAGCCACTGCTATTAGGTTGGAGGCCATTGCTATTAGGTTGGAGGCCATTGCTATTTGGTTGGAGGCCATCGCTAGCAGGTTGGAGGCCATCACTATTAGGTTTTTTAGAAACAAAGAAGAAAGAAAACAGGAGGAGAGAGGAGAAGAGAGCGAGAGCACTGAGGCAAAGCGCTCGCAGCTCCGTAGACAACTCGTGCTTGGTATGCGGACATCTGCCATGGCCACTTTAACCGCTCTGGCACTGGCCGCAAGCTTTCTCAAAGCTGTTTGCTGTCTGGTCTCCATCAACTTCTAAGCTGAATGCTTTTATGTCAGAGTTTCTGGAGTTGATCTACATAAGCATCGCACGTCAGATTTTGATGCCGAATCGACATTGAAGAATACCAGACTAGCGACTATCAGATCGACAAGAGCTACTCACAGAGGTTCTGGAGATATCTGATATCTGGACAGCAAATCAAGTTTGCACAGAGTTAACCGCTTACACGATCATTTGTCCACATGGACACCTCAAAGAAAACGATAGCAATCACCATGCTATTTTGTCTTCCCTTCACGCTCAAACCGGTATGTCTTGCTAGATCTAACATTGAGATCCCGCTCGCTCTCTCTTTGAGGGAGCGTCCATGATTGAAAATTCCGGTCCGACGCTTTGCAGATCCGGCGACTATCAACTCATGCAACGAACTCTCAAATATGCAGCCTATCATTGCACTTGCTGCAACAAAGGACTAAGCAACACCAAGTATTTATGATACAGAAGTCAAAGCGACCTAAAGTCAAAGGGTGCGAGAAGCTCTGCAATTTGCAAAAACCAGATCTCTGGTCCTCAGAAGTCAAATCCTTGGACAGCTATCAATTGCACAAGCACCAGAATAGAAAGGCTGCCAACGCCATCCAGCTTGCCTCAGATTGCCCCCCGTGGGGGACAAAGTGGCAAGTGGTAAGACCAAAAATGACAAACCAAATTCCGCCGTGCCTCGCTCAAACGATTTTTCTTCCTCAAGAGGTATGATTCTACAAAAACCCTTTAAAGCCCACATGTTTTTACGGTAGTAGTTGTGTGGTTTTCTCAGATACCTTGATTGTGCAAATCTCCAGTACAAAATGTTAGCATATCAAGCGCTGTCAGGTTGCACCGTGAAGTGATTGGCTTCTGAGTCGACACTAATTCTGTCTGGGTAAGATCCATGTAATCGATTCTCCTTCCGAAAGGAAGCTCGCCAAAACTCGAGTTGATGGCAATGAGAAGTTGAGTGGCCATCTCTGGGATTTCAGAAGAAACATCGAAAGAATATGCTGTAGCAGCGCAGCACTCATAGACCTTGTCGCTCCGGTCAACATAGCCCAGAGTCTGGCCCACCTGTGTTCCACAATCATCTGCAAAAAAGACCCGATATCCATGGATCCCCGAAATTGGCAAAACTGGCATCTTTCCCTTGGCGTGCGCTTCGCCAAATTGAAGTGTGCCCGCAATGTAGTTAGGACGGGGATCTGAGTCAATAAACGGTGTGTTTCGGCAGACTTCACATCGGATCTTGCAAACACCAGAGAGCCATTGAGCTTCCTGCTTCGCATTTGTGTTTTCGCTGGGGCCTGGAGCAACCAGAGGAAAAGAAACTGACAAAGAAACCGACATCTGGTGATGGTATGTCTTTTTGGTGTTGGCCCATATCGGGAGGGTGATTCAAGTGGTGCAAGAGATTGTCCACCAACCATTTATTCGATTCATCTTCCTTTGAGTGCAGAAACACACATATAAAGATATGTAAAAGCATCTTCCCACCAGAAAGACGTCGTCCTTGTCCTTCTATGATTCTATGCCTTACCTGAATGCATCCGGAGCACAAATAAACTGCAACGGACCACCGGAGATGCAGTCAGAGGGAGCACATCTTGATTCACATGTCTCTCCAGCAGGGATCATTTGACAATCTGAAGGATCGCCCATGTAAGCCAGACTTGGAGGTGAACAGTGCCGCAACGCCACACAACCAGACAAAGTCACGTTCGACTGGCAGGTGGCAGGATCAATGCGGCATGTGGCCTGAGCTGTGCCTGTCCAGCCTTCTTTACACCTCCATTCGCCTCCGTCTCCGGAATTCCTCACAAGCTCATAACCAGCTTGAGCAGCTGGAGGGAAGCAATCGCATCGTAAAGAGCTGTCAAACTCAAGTACTTGCGCAGCATCTGTGTTGTCCACAGGGCATCTACCAACGACATCTCCCCCCCGAATATCCTTCCTGGCATGACATGATGCAAAACTCACCTGGGTACACTCTGCTACAATTTCCCACATCAGTTCTACATTGATGCACAACTGGCAAGATACACGGCTGCAACATCAAGCAGCCCCAGAAATGCCAAAATGCTTCACAAGTTGTAGTGTTGATGCGGCATTCCACTGCAGCAGCTCCTACTGCTCCTTCTGCACAAACAACATCCTCAACAACTCCTTGCTCACCAAGCGTATAGTTGGGGTGCAGAATGTGGGGTGCGATTTGTGGACACATCAAGTTGCAGTCAGGCGCTTCCCAGTCGGCTGGTCCATCTCTCTGCGTGTTTGGATTTGGGCAACTTGCCATGGAAGAGTTACCTTCATATGGGAACTTGCATCGAGTCTCGCAGCTGGCTCCCGGTGCTATTGTTGGACCACAAAAGGATTCAAACTCGCATTGATTGTGCCCGGCAGGATTTTTGCAAGGCACATTTTCATCGCAGCCGCTTAATCTCAAAATAGGTGCTCCACAGCCCGGGCTTTGCATACAAGTTGCCTCTGCTTGTCCTACGTAGCCCTGAGAGCAAATCCAGCCGGAATCTGGTGGTTCCAAGTCTTGTCTGAGTGCAAATCCCAACGGGACTGGCTCAGGCATGGGGCATGCCAAAGTGCAGCTTTCGTTGTTCCAGGTCAAAGGATGTCTCGGGATGGTGTTGCCTTGTGGGCAGGTGGCCAAGAAGTTTTGCCCTGAGAAAGGAGCTTTGCACTTCACCTCGCATGATGAACCCGGAGGAGTCTCGGCACCGCAGCCAGAGAAATCAAAGCGGCACGGGTCAAACATCTCGCTCGGAGGTAAAATACACTTCTCTTCACGGGCACAACCGCTGAGAGTCAACTGCGGGTTGCAATCATCATCTACATCGCAGTGTTCTTGGGGTCTCCCATCATAGCCTCATCACGACAGAAACAATGAATTCCATATTCTTTACTTCCCACCAGTCCAATCACGTTTCCTATGCCTGCATCCCATGAAAATGAAAAGCACTTCACGTTGGATGATTACAAACCGTCCAAAAGAAGTTGTCTGCAGCCAAGTGGCCTGGGGCACATTGCCATCCACAATTCTCTATTTTTACATAGCCTGGTGGAACCGGATTGGGATCTGGACACTGTAGGCTGCAGTCTGGCGGGATAAATTCTAGTTCTGTATGGGGATCTACATTGTCTGGCTTGCAAAATGCTCGGCCTGGGCGACCTGAAAAGGGCGGGACACAATGGAATTCACAGAAGCCGCCAGAAAAGGTGTCCTCGCATTCTGAGAAATTGTACCTGCACAAATCTCGCCCTTGAAGCCTGGGAGTGGAACATGGCATCAATGGAACGCAACCAAATAACTGCAAGGTACCACCACATTCATCAGATTGTGCACATGAAACAGAGACTGAGCCGCGAAAGCCGTCAGCACATCGCCAAGTGCCCACATCATAGCCCCTCGGCAAGGGGTTTTCAGCCGCCCAATCATCAGCAGAGAGACAAGTGTACTCACCGCAATAAAGATCCAGGTCTGGTGCAAAGTTTGCAACGGTGTTGTCAGCAGGACACTCTGCATAGGTGGTGTTGGCATTAAAACCTTCTTTGCAAGTCACGTTACATGACTCACCTGGTTGGATAGGCCCTTGACATTCCGTGAAGTCCAGCTTGCACAACTCGTAATCGTCCACTTGCGGTCGGTCGCAAGGGGACAATGGATAGCAGCCGGTCAAAATCACGTTGGGAAGGCAGGTTACCAGATCGATCTCGCAGCGATAGCTGGCTTGCCCATAATAGCCCGGTGCACATGCATAAGTGCTCCACGCGAGGTACCAATAACCTTCTGGAAGAGGGATGGGCACAGGACAGTGACAAACAGGAGCCAGCCAATTGATGACTTTTGCTGGATCAATGTTGTCAGCTGGACAGCCAGCACCAAGTTTGTCTCCAGCATATGGGGTTTTGCAATAGACAGTGCAGACCTCTCCTGGGTCAACACCATTGCAAAAGCCATTTTCAAGGTCTATCATGCACTGCTGCTCTGGTGTCAGAGATGGCGCCAAGCATGGAACATAGGGCTCACAACCAAAGAGGCGCGGAAAGGCCACACAAGAAGTCTCGTCCACCACGCACTCGGACCAAATGGCACCAGGTCCACGATAACCTGGTGCACATTGCCATTCTCCGAAGACGTTTCGGTAACCAGTCTGTGATGAAGGCTCTGAGCAGCCAAGAATACAACTAGGCGGTGTCCACACAGCCCCTAGGGGGTCAATGTTGGGATCTCGACATTCCATGGTGCCATGTGGCTCACCTAGTGGAGTCATGTAAGGTGAAAGGCACTTCACTTCACATGATGTTCCTGAAAGGAGTTTTCCGTCACTTGGGCAGGCTGACACGTCATGCTGGCAAGAATCGATGCTCGGAAAATCACAAGGTGTCGTTGGGAAGCAGCCTGACAATACGTACTCAGGCTCGCAGTTTGTATCGTTGACAATGCACTCCGCGAGTGCAGCTCCACTATACTGATTGTTCACATCGCAAAGCCACCTGCCATTGCTCAGCACATATCCCACCGGAATAGGATCTGGCAAAGCACATTCAACATCACAGTCAATGGCCCACTCCCCAAGCAGAGTGCCCCAAACAGGCTGTTGACCTGTCCTGGTAGTGCTACCAGGGCAGTATGCCCATGTAGCGTTCTCTCCCTGGCCTCCAGTATAGGGCTCCGCACATGTCACGTTGCAGCCTTGTCCAGGCTGTAAAGACATACATTGAGAAGCGTTGGTTCGGCAAGTGTCATTGACAAAGAGTGGTGCACACTCGACTGTCAGAGTGCAGCCACTGATAACCAGTTCCGATCTACATTGACCTGGAGCACTTCCAACGGCAGCACAGTACCAGCTGACCTCCCCAATGTAGCCCTCATCACAGACCCATCCACAAGGCGTCTCAATGTAGCCCGCCGGCACGTTCATCTCACACGGCTTCAAGCTACAGATTGGCTCCAAATAGACGAGCTCGCCGTTGGGATCTGTGTTGTCAGATGGGCAATATGCGATAGTCGATCTGCCCAGGTAATCGGAGCCACAACGAATGGTGCAATTTCCACCTGGTGGAACTGACTGACACTCTGAGAAATCGAACATGCAAAGCTGGTCCTGGTCAGGGGGGGTTGAGATGTGTTTCCATAAAAACAGATCTGCTTTGAAAGCTAGAATACTTATGTTATGCATATTTATGCCACATGCACAGAAATCCTCAGCGCTGTAGCTTGATGAGCGAGCACCTCGTCCCTGCCCCACTCTTGGTGGTGCGCAGGGCACTCGCAAGTTGCAGCCTGAGAAGGAATACGTGGGATTACATTGATCCAAGAAGTCCGCCGCACAGCGCGATGAGGGGCTTCCAGAATAGTTGGTCGCACACATGAAGCGAGTCTTCACGTACCCGGGCGGATCCACTGGATCCTGACACGTCAGAACACATCCTGGGAACGTCCATTCCAATGGTGTCGTGGGATCAATGTTTCCTGCTGGGCAGCGGGCGTCCGTGGTGTTTCCAGTAAAACTTGGACCACACGAGACTTCACATGTCTCTCCAGCAAAAACGTTGTGACACTGTGACCAATCTACCGAGCATGGTGCATCATGTGGGACGGCGCACTCGCGTTCCGGGACACAGCCCGAAAAGGTATATGCAGCAACACAGTCACCATCATGAATGTTGCATTCTGCCTTGGCCTCTGGATTTGCTTTCCATCGAGGAGCACAAATCCAAGCCTGCTTCCCATCAGGGCCCAAACCATTTGAAAGATAGCCCGCAGGAAGCGGATTGGGCATGGGGCATTCTAGGTTGCAATCCGGGACTGCCCAATTCAGCTTCTGTCCTAAAAGCGTGTTGTTTGGAGGACATGTTGCGGTTGCAATGCCTCCCACGTATGGCGGACGACAGGTCACCTCGCAAGAATCCCCTGAGCGGACTGAAATACACGCATGCTGGTAAGAGCATTGCTCACCAGCAGTAAGTGTGGGAGGATCACAAGGAAGCAAAGCACTACAGCCTGCAAATTGAAGCTGTGGATTACAATTCAGATCGGTTCCACACGTGATCATTGGAACTCCAGCATAGCCAGAGGCACATTGCCAACCACCATAAACTCGAAGATATGGATGGGATAGATACCCAACCGGCACATTGGCAACTTCGGCACAAAATAGAGTACACACAGGTGCTTCCCAATCAAGTTCACGAAGCGGATCCGTGTTGCCCAAAGGACAGCTTGCGCTTGTGGAATTGCCTTGGTACGGCCTTTTGCAGTGGACCTTGCAAGAACTTCCCGGGGCAGCTGACTCTCCAATGCATTCCGTGAAGTCGTACATGCAAGAGTTCTCCACTGGCAGGATACAGCGAGCCAACTGTGAGCAACCCGAAAGAACCTTCTTGGAAGCGCAAACAGAGTCAATAACGCAAGTCCAGTCAGCCTCACCGCCATATCCAGGAGCGCAAGCCCAACCGTTGCCTCCGGAGACTTTGATGTAACCTTCAGGCTCATTCGGAGGATCATCGCACAGCAAGGTACATTCTGGTTTCACCACCAGGAGACCGATCTCAGAATTCACATTGTCAGGCTTACACAAAGCCCAGCTCGGCCATCCAGCGTATGGATCGCGGCATTTCACCTCACACGAGCCACCGGGTTGTACATCCGAACATCCTGTCACGTCCAATTCACAGCCAATCAGCTCGATTGGAGCTGCACACGCAGCCGTCTTCTCACAGCCAAAATATTGCAAGGTGCTTTGGCAAACATCATCTGGCACACAACGTGCCACAGCATTACCTGCGAAGCCTGCTGCACATCCATATGTCGTCACACCATTCGGGTCATCAGGTGGCACTTCAACATAAGCGTCTGGCAATGGTCCAGGGTCTTTGGTGCAGTCACTTGCAAATAGATCACAGTCCGGAGCTGTCCATTCCTTACCGGGTGCTTTTCAACGGCTGGCTTTTAGGGTTTCGGTGTAATCGCATGAAGCAGGCCGCGGGCCTTGACAGTGGCTCGTTTGCCAGTGTACCAAAATGAACTTAATTGGGATGGCCTCCAACCTACTAGCCATGGCCTCCACCCTAGTAGCGATGGCCTCCTACCTACTAGCGAAGGATCCACCCTAGTAGCGATGGCCTCCTACCTACTAGCGATGGCCTCCAACCTATGTATACATCATGGATTATGTAAAGCTTGCTAGAGAGTTCAACCTTGGTCATTGGTCTTTCTATGTCTTTCTCACAGCATTCAAAGTTTCACCGGCTTCTCGCATGCTGCCTTGTCTTGGGTGGTCTCAAATATGAACATGCCAGTCTTGCAATCGCCTTCGACGTTTTGTTCGTGCCTCTCTACCCAGCCTTCATACGCTAACTTGTTGCTATGTTCATGTTCTTGTCAAATGCTTGCATAGTGGCCTATGCGTGTCAGGTTGAGCAACAAACTAGTTGCTTGCTTTGGTGTCTAATCATTGCTTTCCTACTCTTTCTTCGCTCTTCAATTCTATGGCATTTCAAGAAAAGCTCGAACTTTTTTTAGAACACAGCATAGCTCATCCACAAAAACTGAGAACTGGTCCGCCACTGTTGCACGATTTGTGTTCCCAGGTGGACAGGAGGCCAGCGCAGCCTGGGACGAGCCATGCTGTTTTCTGGAATGAGCCAGAAGAGTTGTAAGGGAAAATTCTCGGTAGTGACTACAACTTGCAGTTCAGTCAAGCACATTCGTCGAGGCGAGCCTAATTTTTTCTGAGCCACTGCAAACTTAGTAGCAAGGGGTCGTTTAACTTTGCCATGTTGTCTGCATCTTTCTTTCAAGTGCCTCTCCAAAAAAAGGGACTTCGACAGGCTACGGGACATGATGTGCCAGCTGGCACCTGGCATACAGAGGAGGACTGAAAAGTCAATCGCTGCAAACACACTGTGTAAGCACAATCGTCCAGCCGTGAGCAGGTGATTGTCAAACATGAAGGCTGGACGCTCTCGCCACATGCCGATATGTCAAACCTTCCAAACGCTGTGATTCAGTGTGTGCAGCTGAAATCCCTGACCTAAGCCAACCTAAGCCTCTACTGGTAAGGAGTGTGCCCCTGCTTACTTTGTTTTCCTGTAGATTCGTAGTAGCGTTCTTGCCATAAATACCAAACTTTGACTCTTTCAGTAAACTCAAGGGTGGAAGAGTCTAGGTTCAAGGGTTCAAGTTCACATAAAAGTTCTGCAAACTTTGCAACGACAATATTATTGTCCAGGTTTGCCTGCACTCGTCAGCCTTGGTCAGCTCCATGAGCTGACAAGGCACACCACAGGTCATGGCTTGGCCTCAGAATGCAGTCATGGACACGTGAAAGATGCTGAAAGCGTAAGAAGCATTTGCCGTCTTGTACAAATACGCCTAAGGCAAGAGCCAGGCTCCTCTAGCTGCACCAGCAAGCTTGGACATCCCTGTGCGTGGCCTGCCTGGATCCTGGCAAGAGGACAGTCTCACTTCATTAACTTTCTGAACTGATGCCTAACGGAATGTGCCTCAAGAGCAACAGAATGCTGAAAATCATGCAGTATGACCTGAGGTCACAAAAACTGGCCTGGCCACAACTAGTCTGCACGTGTCCACGTGCATCTGAAGGAAAAACTGGGGTCTCAGCAATCCATGCAGTCAAATTGACATTTGCCTCGGAAGAGAAAAATATCAAACGAGAAGCTCTACATTCCTTCCAATGGCTTAACTGCCTCTACCCTCCTCTTCAGAAAAAAAAGATAGACTAAAGAGACGCTCGGAGGGCGACCTCGGCTTTAATTTAGCCCAGCTATGGGTGTCGATCTTGCGGATCCGCTTCTTACACGCCCCTTGCCATCCCTGACCTTTTTCCAGAATGCCTATACAAAGGCCTCCCATTTAACTTTGCGGTCTGGGGATAGAACTGTGGCGTGTCTCCCATTGGGGGAACTTCTGGAGGTCTTGGATGAATCGATAAAAGATCAGAATGATCAGATTCGTGTGATGATTCGCTATTAGGTTGGAGGGCCATCGCTATTAAGTTAGAGGCCATTACTACTAGGAACAAGAAGCTACTAGCAGCAAGAAGCTACTAGGTGGTTTCTCCTAGAAAAGGTGTCTTCACTGCGCAGCTCCGTGTCATGAGGTCGGCAGTTGGTGAGGCTGGTCCTTTTGGAGCTGTTGGCATGTTGCAGGATTGTTGACGTGTGATTCGGAGACATGTCGAGGTGTGGCAGGGTCACTTCACTTCTTTTCGTGGCAAGCGAAAAGCACTTTGTGCGCGTTGGAGGTGTTGGGAATCAATCAGTGTGCCCAGAGAATCGCGACACTGCAATGTTCGGTGCACATCATTCCCACTGCACCCTTGGGATTGGTGTGTGAGCGGGCTGTGGAACCTGCTTGGCAAGGCTCCTTGGAAAGCCCCGCCTTGTGACAAGTCCCACTTCACTTGAAGGAACACAGTGCGGTACAAAGTGCTTCGACTTTTGGAGACGTGGAAACGCTTTGCTGTTTGGTCCTTTTTGTACAAATGTCGTGCATGGGGTAGCTTGTGGGACCTAGGCTCCATGCCTCACAAGGATGTCCCACAAGAGTGTCCTAGAACTACACCAGCAAAGACCCCAAGCAGTTTGACAAGCAAGAGAGTAACAAGAAGCTACTAGTAGCAAGGACGCTTAGGTGGCGGCCATGGCTATTAGGTTGGAGGCCATTACTACTAGTAACAAGAAGCTACTAGTAAGAAGCTACTAGGGACAAGAGGAGGACACCAACCAGAAAGAGGCTCACTCAGGCTTGCCAAGCTGGACACCGGCAGAAGGATAACAAGACGACAACCAAAGGACGATACACCAACACAGGAGGGTTCGCCAGCACAGCCGCAAACTGTCGGCACCTTTTTTTCTAAGAGCTGTTGTTTGTCGTTGTCCCACAAAATTGTCATATATAAGAGTGTCACACCTTCTAAAATACTGTAATCGAATGGTTCTGCGTTCGGGTTCGCGGGCTTCATCTTGCCCGAACACATCATGATTGTACCTCCCGGATTCCCCCCCTCACTTCTCAGCCAAAAGCACAAGTTCACCCATGGACCTATTTACATTATCCACACACTTGCAACTTGCCATGGCCTTTTCATGCCGTGCCTTTTCTCAATGTACATCCCTTCATGTCGCTTCAATGCTCTTTTTCCCCCCCGTTTGTTTCCTGGGGTCAGCCACCATCGACTGCGGATCCTGGATCCTGAAAACTTGTCCTTGAGCAGCTGAAAAAACGGCCCAAACCAGCTTTGTCTTTTCCAATCTCTTTTCCAAGAGTGGCAACAGCAGGTCAAGTGAAAAAAGGAAACTGCTGTGCTTGCTACTTGCTACTCGTATCAATCCATTTGTATACGTGTCTGTGTCAAACTGACCTTTGGCCTCCTCGCAGCAAACTTCCCTGTGGCCTTTTCAATTGCTCCTTCTCGCTCCCTCGCGTGTTGCTGAGTTCTTTACATCTATTCTATTTGTCGTTTGCAACAATTTGTGGGATATTTTTCTCAGTGTCGATGTGAGTGTCAAAACACCTCAACACATCCAAGGAATGGCCCCTGCACTGATTTGCAAAATCTGGATGTTTGGGCCCGGTCCGCTAGGTCTTGATTGCAACACCTAGGCCAGTGAAACATCATTTGACGGTGAAACACAGATTAGACGCTGGCAGCACAGGCTGAAAGAAGCCTCGTAGGTACGAATCTGCCCTGGCGGCAGCTGACCTCACTGTCTGCCCCCTGCTCATCGAATCGCTGGCTTAGCTCAAGGGTTATCCGTCCATCTGTATATGTGCTTTTCCTGCTTTTCTTTTGGGCCCTGCCTCAATCTGCCCGCACCAAAGGTGCTGAGTCGTTACACAGTCAGAAGCGCGTTCATCGTTGTTTATAGTTTTAGCCAGGGGGGTGACAAATTTCGTTCCTGCATAAGAGGTGCCTGAGAGAGGCGGAGTGAGAGTGGAAGAAAACATGAAAAAACCACATGGTTTCGATTGGTTTCATATATGTCTGACTATATACATTTCTCATGATCGTATTATTTGCATCACCAGCTCCACGAAAACCAAGCAAACGACTCATCTCAACAGTCTATGTCTTAATATACCTCTCATTGTTGCAGCATTTGCATCAGTTGGTTGCAGTTGTAAGGCTTATTATGGCGACATTTGCGTCAGCTGGCTGCAATTGTATAGTTTCTTGCACAAAATGCCTGCACACTGGTATAGGTGGTTTGGACACCCTGAAGACATATACAATTTCAAATGGTTCAACAAATTATATATAACAATGCTCGCAAGTTGCAAGCAAGGCATAACTAAGCAATTTGAAAGAGGGTGCAAAATAGAGTGATTATTGAGACTTCTTGACATTTATTCATCCACTTCATGCCGCGTTCAACCCTAAGTCTAGTCTTGTCTCGATCACGCACATTGTACAGTTTATTGCACATAATCGCTCTCTTTCGACCCGATTGAAAATGTACATTTTCCCAGGCCCAAATTACGCTAATGTGCAGGCATTGTTGGATTTAATTTGGACCCCTGAAAAAATGTACAAGTTCAAGGGGGCCGAAAAATATGTCCAACGATGCTTGCAAGTTGCAAGTATATAAGACATGGCTCAGCAATTTGTCACAGGGTCCAGAAATAGAGTGAGAATAGGACTTGCTCATCTTTTTTCATCCATTTCATCCTGGGTTCATCTCCAAGTGTTGTTTCGATCAAGCATATTGTATATATAGTTTATTGTGCACAATCATTCTATTCTTTGACCCCCTTGAATATGTAGGGGTTGAAAGTAGATCCAACAACGCTTGCAAATAGCAAGACATAACTAGACCATTTGTCAAAGGGTCCAAAAGTAGAGCGATTATAGAGAGTTCTAATTTAACCTTGTGACCCCAATTAAGTAGGCGCCTACTTAATTAAGTAAGGTACTGGACGTTCCTAGCTACTGGACGCAGAGCTCACGTTTCTTCAAGGAAGCTCCCCCGGCCTGAGGACGGGGGGAGCTTTACTGAAGAAGGGCTTGCACTTTTGAAGAACTGTTCATAATAGCTTCTTGTTCCTAGTAGTAAGGCCAGGAGCCCCTAGTAGCGTCCTTGCTCCTTGTAGTGATGCCAGGAGCCCCTAGTAGCTTCTTGTTCCTAGATTCTGACGGCAACTCAACAAAGAGTAGCGATTTAGAAGCTATATAGATAGTAGTTGTGAAGTAGGCCGCTACCCGTCTTGGCCTTCTTACCTTTCTTTAGACCTTTCTTCCTGTCTTTCATCGTTCTTTCTTTTGTCTGTATATATATATACATATATTCTTTCTTTAAACCTTCTTTCTTTTATGCCTTCTCTCCGATGTTTTCTTTCTTCCTTCGCCTTTCTTTCTTCATTCACCATCTTCGTGTCTTTTCTGTTTCCTAAGTTAAGTAAACTGTTGGCTAGGCCGTTGGCTGGGCCGTTATCAAAGCCATGCGTGGTGTCTAACCTGAGTGCCCTTTGCTCAGCCAGAATTACGTCGAGAACACTGGGGCTGTTCTCAGAGAGATTGGACCCAAACCCATCTCCAACACGATGAGTTGCAGCCGAAGATGCTTTGTGTTACGGCCGCATGTCAACTCTGTGAGTGGGTCTCAGCTCTGCCGCTAAAACTGCCACATGCAGTGGAACCAAATGGACAGCACATCAATTCAAAAGTTTTTATTTTCCTGCCATCTCTACGCAAACATTGGAATCAGAAAGGCCTGACAGAACCTGGTTCGACAGCTTGTTTGGATCCCCTTGTATGCTGACTCATACTCAAATCCAGCCCCCAATTTGGATGACTTGGAATGTTCAAAAAATGCTGAGAGTTGAGATGCTGTCCAGGTGAATTGATGAAGCGAGGTCAGGAACGTGTGATGCCCGCATGACACCTTCTCCTCCAGTCATTCAATGTCCCTCTCCCGAACACGTTCGCCGCCACCTCTGCTCCATGAGGTACCGCACGGCTGTACGTGTGCATGTACCGAACACAGCATGAATCGTGGATTGCGCACAAACAACTTGCAGAATTGGTCGATCTCTGTCCCGCAAATTTCACTACAAGGAACTAAAAGGCGCAATCACAGGCAGTCGCGTTCTTTAACGCTGTGAAGCAATAGTGAGGTCGAGAAATTAGGGACTTGCAGTAGCGACGCTAGACAATGTGTTCTTGTGACTCTTGGTTTTGCTTTTGTCTTAGAAGACCCACTAGTAGGTTGGAGGCCGTTGCTATTAGGTCGAAGACCCACAAAGACTCGCCACTTCCTTGTAGTCGCCACTTCTGCAAGCACACAGGCACGCAGTGAAGACAACAACATCACTCTGCACGATGGTGTCATGGGACTGATCGGCATGTGACAGATTCGGCAAAACGGTAAGGATTCACCGGAAAGCAGTGGTGCAGCATGGTGCAGTGGTAGGTCGATTTCCGCTGACCACTCACTGGCTGTGTTTCTCCTAAGTTCTGAGAGCTCAAGTTGTTAGTTTTGCTGTTCTTATGAAAATACCGAATACTCAGTGATTTATGGCTCATGACCATAAACATCGAACTCCTTCATAGTGACCAAAGCCATACCTTGATCCGTATCACACCGGAAAGGAACCTCTACGTCTGACGTTGGATATCAGCCCCAATATCGTAGCTGTCGAGCCTTACTCTTGTGTGTGTGGTGGGCCTGTTTGCTACAACCAGAGCTACCCACTGCCCGGTGCCAATTCGAAGGTCCCAATGAAAGCTACCAGCATCGTGCTCCTGGAAAGAAAGCTCGGCCACAAGAAACCCAATGCTGCAAGTAATCCTTTAATAACTTTGATAGGCCATGGACCAGGTGAGCAAACTAGTTTGGCACAAATGCAAGAAGTCAGCAATATCAAAACAAACAAATCCTCTAGTTGTGGTCTAAGGATAGATCTCACGCGGTTCTACTCGCTTGTGACGTCCTGCACTGCACAGCAAGCCTAGGAAGAGCGTGAAATGAAATCGGTGTTCTCGCAAAGGCGAAGGCATGGGACTATGCAAATAACCGAAAAGAATATTAACAATAACATACCCGCATTATCTCATTATAGAATTATAGGAAAACAAGACTTTAAGGAACCTAATAGCAGTGGCCTCAAACCTACCAGCGATGGCCTCCAACCTACTAGCAATGGCCTCCAACCATGGCGGCGTCCAACCTAATAGCGATGGGACTATGCAAATGCAGAATCGCTGACACTGTTTGGCAAATGCCTGCTTCCTCCTTCAGCAGGAAACCTCTCAGAACTAGGGAGCCTGCCTGCATACAGAAGAAATGTATGTATGACTTGGCACCTTAACGACTGGAGCTGATCAGTCCGTAGAACAATGCCGTTCTAGGAGCCTCCAGTAAGCTTTTGGTGAACCTGTTGTGACCTTTGTGCATTCCAAATTACAAGCGTTGCTGGTAAGGCCCCACAGACCACTGGAACTGTTGCCCCAGCTCAACCCGGGACTATGTTGCTTAAGATCCAGAATCGGTAGCAGTAGCAAGAATCAGTGCAAGAGAACAAAAATTCCAGAGACTTGCGCGGCTCGGCTGATAGCTAATGCGGCCAAGTAGCAACGGCACGTTGTCGGCGGTGAACCACCCCGACTGGGAGCTCATGCCAATCGCCGTCGAAGTGTGTGCAGTGCCTGCACTTGCCCGCAGCTTTGTGGTCCATCCTAGTTCCGAATCCAACAGGCTCATGTTGTACAAATGTCTTTTCTATTCTTTCCAGGCCGCTTAGAGGTGGTAGCTTAAAAGTAGTAGCTAACAAAGCAGCCAAAGTAGTACCTAGGAAGCGACGAGTAGCAGAACGCAGGAAAGCTCAGGCTTCTTCAAGGAAGCTACCCCCACCTGAGGGCGGGGGGAGGTTGCTTGAAAAAGCCCTCGCACAGTTTGTTTGGTTCCTAGATTCTCGGGGAAACTTAACTGATACCATGCTTGCATTTGCCCTCAACATAGAAACAGTACACCACTGCATACATGACTCCACGTCCAGGACCAACCTCTAACAAGCACAACTCAAGAGTTTCTTGAGCTATTTGGAACGCCAAAATCCAATGCTACAAAATCACCACAGTGAAGGGCCACAAGTTTCTCCAGCATTCATCCGAAACAAACCTGTTCCAACAGCGGCCGTGCACGGTGACTTGGTACCATCTCCTGACAAAGTAATCTCAACTTCATGCGGACAAGTCCTGCTTGAGAGTCAAGGCCTTGACTCACCAAATCTCAACAAATTCACTCTCCCTGTTTGTCTTTATCTTTGTTGGAGGTCATCGCTAGGGTGGAGGCCATTGCTACTCCCTGTCTGGTCTCCTTGATGGCCAACTGCAGCTGCCTGGTAACCTCAAACAGCTTTTCAAATGCCGGTCAACAGCTCAGGACCGCAGCGTCAAAAGCTGGTCAGGTCAGCAGCATCTTTTGTTTGAGTCTTGGTAAGCACGGCCGACGCTCAGTTGGAATGAGGTGCCTTCTCTTCTGAGAAAAGAATGGCTAGCTGCGGCTAACAAGAGATGGCAAAGGGTCTGTGTTGATCAGTTGGCGGAAGCACAAATCAACACACCACCTTCCCAACGAAAGTCAATGGGGCAAAAAATCCAAAATCTGTTTGAAAGGTTTAGGTTCTCCAGAACAGTACAACTGTGCTTCCGAAGAGGTAGCTCAAAGAGATCTTGATCTCAACTCGCCGCTATTCCACTAGGTGCTCTCCACAGGTGTGAAAAAACAAATAAATCCAACGACTCGTCCTCCGACTCGTCCAACGGAAGTGCTTTGCCAAGTTCCGCTCTCAACATCCTGTGAACAAGATGATGGCTTCATGAGGAATTCATGAAGGTTAAAGTTCCGCTTGATCTCCATGTTGCCGTGGTTGCTGAAGTGGTCAGCAAAGCCGAGCTGGGATTAATCGAAAGAAACCAAGTCTCCAACTCCGAAACTCTTTCACCGAAGTGCAAAAAGCCACAAAATGAAGTCTTTCGCAGTCCTTCAATCCAACATTCAGGTCCTTCAATCAGAAAACACAGAGTCCAAACCATCGCAGTTCCTTCAATCTTAAAGACTGCCCTCCAGTGAAATTGCAAAGCTGGATTGCTAAAGCTTGGTTTGAAGCCGAAGCACAAACCCCAAGGCACGGTTCACTGGTCAGAGTGACTTCTGAGTCCACCTGGAGCTTGGAAGCGCTCACCATGATTTCGACCAGGATTCTTCGAAACTGCCAGGCATCCACCGATGATGGCCAATTCTCCGGTCGTTGCTGGCAACACCTGGCTGGCTGCCCATGTGGTGACTCGGTCCCAATTGACGGCAAAGTGGGCCCCTGCGACTGTTGAGGTCTTTTAGAGCTCTCCCCATCGACCTAGCAGCATCGTTCTTCATCTTTATTGATGGATCCTCTCAGATCCTCTCAGCATCTGGGGCTCCAATGGGCGACAAGTCCCACATGGCTATCTCAGAATCCTTTAGATCGATGGCATGCGGGTGAGATACCAAACATATCAGTGACCTCTCAGGACGGAAGAAAGTCAACAAGAAATACACCCAAGAAGCTTGAGCATTCAGTCGATGGCAAGCAGACTGTGCATTAAAACTGGAGCTTCACCAGACCACGTGATTCTTGAGATCGTTGCCCTTTCTTTCTGCTCTTCATCCAAGGAAACCCTCTCGATGACCAGCGTCACCGCCTAAGCTGTGTCACAACGAGCCCAAGTTGGCCCAAGACTCAAAAAGACAAAGGGCGTAACGCAATGTCTCTAGCAGTCTGGAAAGCAACTTAGCACAAAAATCCATAGGCAAACGAATAAACTCGTACCTGGGCTAGCTCCACCAGTTGTGCATACGCAGGAGATTGCACCTGGCAGATTATAGTTGCTCAAGGTATTGCCGTCAGAGTTTTCTGTCACTAAAGCCTTGTCGATCATCATAGGTAGAAGTCCAGGCGCAGAAAAGTAGTTGGACGCCTGGACACGACCGTCACACGGTAGTCCAGAGCAGATTCAGTCACCCAGAATTACCTCACATGTCGCCGTCCAAGGATGTTTTAATGCAAAGGTTAGAGACACTGAAATCAGCTGAGTCTAGTAGACACCACTTGCCTCTGATGCACACAAGTGCTCAACTCAGTTCTGCAGTTTTGGATCTTGGTTGGTTTTGTCTTCATATCTGAAGACTTTGAAAGCTGAAATCAAGTCTTGCCAACCAAACATTATCGTGCCTGTGGAATTTTTGCCAAGCTTGACAACAATCGACTTGTCGGGAACGCAACTTCCTCGACTTCAGGTCATTCAACCCATTCCAACCACAGAGGTACCTGTAGCCTAGCTAGCAGCTGATAGATGTCCTGATTATTGGGTTGCGTTTCTCAAGGTTTTTTGGCCAATTCAGATCAACTGGCAGTAATTAGCAGGTGAGAAAACGTGTGTTGAGGTGGGCTGATCTTGGGTGCGAACAGCGTTGTTGCTCTGAAGCAGATTTTGAATTTCCTGAAAAAGAATGTAACCCTCTTCTGCAGGAAGATGCCCAAGCAACTTCAAACGTCAGTGTTCATCCTTCCACACAACAGGGGCCTTGAAGACATCTTCTTTGAGAAGCAATGTTGCTGCCGCGGGATCCTTCTTTGAGGTCAGATTACACGACTGCACACAAGTAACCTGTCAGAAGTCAATAGCAACACTGGAACGTTTGCAAAAAGAGTCCCTCCGTGGTGCCTTTGCCATGTCTGCCAATGCTGCTGCTGACTCCGCCTGCAGTACTCTGTCTGGACTTCACTGAGTCCAGGGAGTGCAGGAGTGTGTCTCCATCCATACTGTTTCCATCTAAGCTGCAACGAAAATGCCGCTCTATTTACTGAAGCTGAACATGAGAGCATGAAGCCCAAAAGGCCTGAAGCGACGGAAACGTCCCCAAGCTGGCCATGTCCAGCAATGGCATAATCTGTGGCCAGACCATCTTTTGGCAACACACCAGAAGGAATGAAGGAGTCTTCTGGACTGAGACCAAAAGAAACTGATGCTTTTCTGCTTTCAGAGTTCGGAAAAGAACGTCGAAGCTGCCTCAGCATCGGAAGAGGTTGGGCTCTCACAAACTGGTGGGCTGAAGTTTGGCATAGCCTAGCGGGCGACATCCTTGAAGTGACAAGACGGAGACGACAAAAAGGAAGGTGCCTTGAATAAGGCCCTCTCAAGAGGACCTCATTAAAAGGGTCCAAACAGCGTCCTTTTTCATGTCTTGTTTCAGCTGCATTGAGGTCACTTCTGAGAAGTTGTACGTTTTCGAGGTCTGACCAGCTGGGCAAACATGCTGTACCGATTGGTTGAAGAGACTGGATTGGAAGTCTTCTACTACGGCGACGGCTACAATTCTCGTTGGTTTCTGCAAAAGCTCGCTTCAGTAGATCCACTGAAATCTCACAGCCGCCTCATGTGTGGATTGCACTGTGAAGAAAGATCTCAAAAACTTCACTGCCTCAGAACGCCAGCGGAAGACACACTGAGTCAATTAGTCCATTTTGCAGACATGTCCGAAAGCTCGCATGTTCCTCACATTCGCTGGGCCTCGGAGAAGGCACGGTTGAAAGCAACTGAACAGCCCATGCGTCTCTGAAATTCCACGGCATACCTGAGAATTCTGGTGGCGCCTCTGAGCTACCTGATACCTGTGAGGTCCTCTGACATTCTAGGCGATGCTCTTGAGACCGGTGAGCGGCGCACTTCTCATTCTCTTCAGAATAGACACGAATCTTCAGTGTACATTTGACCTCACGGAAACAAGCTCAGATGCAAATCAGTGTCAATCCAAAATCAGTAGATCGGTCTTTGGTGGATGTTTACGGATACGATCTATTGTGAGTCTTGGTTTGACCAGTGTTGACCCAGACCTGTCAAACGAAGGCCAATGAACACAAGCTGCCAATCGCTTGGGCTTAAGAATGCTAGGATGAGACAGGATTCGTCTGCGAGCAGTCTCTTGGGAAGCAGACTGAGCCCACGAAGGCATCAGCCTTGATGGCGAACTTGCCCGGCTTGCCTACCTGAACACCGGCTACCATCAGGGAACCTGCTTTGACATCCACAAAGCCAGAACGACGTGTATCTGCACCTTAATGTTCGGAGAAGCTAGGTCTTGCATAAGGAAATTCAGCAGGTGGTTCCTGAGTTTACGGAGCAACGCACTGTTGTTTTGAGCTACCATAAAAATGACGTTTTGCTCTAAAATAACATTGGTTATTGGTTAGATTCACCAAACATTTCTCCTCTCTTGGTCAAGGGACCCGAGAGTCCATGGAGTCGCGGTCTGCACGTATGCAGTGGTCACCTGTGGTCAGGTCAACGCAGGTTTTGAAAAGTGAAATAATGCATGAGTGTTTCGTTTTATTCCTGTAAGGAATTAATCTTGAGGGGCTCAGAGTGGGCAATGAAACCCAAATCTGGGAGAGCCGGGGGCGAAGTTTACAAAGAATATACAAACCAAAGGCAGCCCACGAGCCCGAATGCACATGGGACTGGGACACTCTTGTAGACACTCTTGTGGGATCTTGTGGGACATTCTTGCCACTCACTGTTGTTTAGCATGCTCTTGTGGGACACTTTTCCTGCAAGACTTCCTTGACCCACCAAGCGTTCAAAAGGAGCATCTCGTACGAGACTCCAGAAGTCACGCGTCAAGTCTTCACGACAAACATTCGTACGAGACCTCCTTCAAGAATGGCGTGTCAAGCCTTCAAAACGAGCACTTCGTATGAGACTTCTTCCGAAAGTAATGCATCAAGTCTCTGAAACGAGCATGTTGTATCAGACTTCCTCCAAAAGATCAAAAACAAAGTCCGAAGTCTCATCAGCGCAAACACATCACACAGCCCTGCCAAGCAGCTTCACATTCCGTTCCGCTTGAAAGGGCGGCCGTCGACACGCCAATCCCAACGGCACGGCAAAATCATCTGCTCCAAGCGTCGCAACGTCACAGTTCCCTGCGTCTGCTGCCTCGCTTGATGTTACACAAGTGGGTGGAAGAGTCAGCAGCATCAGGCACAATGTGAGGTGGATTGGCATCCAGAGCCGGAACCTGATCTTTTGGAGTACTGGGTCCACGACAACAGGAAGGTCATCTCATTTCCATGACCGACACATCCATCACTTATATTTATCAGAAGTGCAAAGATGACACATCCTTGCTATGGGACTCGCATGACGAGAACCGATCACACTGCCTCAATTATGGTTATGTGTATTGGCCCAACCAAGATCATGGAGGTGTAGCATCTGACAAAGAGCCGGCACACTGCCTCCCAGCACCCCCAACACACACACAAAGTGCTGCACATAATGCGCAAAGTCGTAAAGTGTTTACGCCTCACCTTGACATGTTACTCTATCCCCAGACCCCCAGAGTTAAAGGAGAACCCTTCGCGGCGCATTCCGGAATAAATAAACGTCAAAACAATATCCCTACCTGCCCTACCTATTAAGAAGGGGACCTTAAAAAATGTAAGTTACAATATCTGGGGGGCATGGAAAGTGAACCTTAAAAATGTAAGCTTACATTTTTCCAAGTAACATTAGAAAAAATGTAGTCTACATTTGGTTTTTATGAACCTAAACAAGTGTAACTTACATTTGTTTCAGATCCCCCCTCTCTTTCCCAATCCCCAGGTAACGGCTGCCCACCTCCAAAAAAAAGGTAAATTGCTTTGGGTTAGGCCTCCAACCTACCTATAGCGATGGCCTCCAACCCACTAGCGATGGCCTCCAACCTACTAGCGATGGCCTCCAACCTACTAGC